TAGCACATCGAGACAAAAGCAAGATAGAAAAGTAAACAGAAGAAAATGCCTGTTTTCTGGACAAAATGAACTTGTACAAAAAGAAAAGAAAAATAAAGACATGCTAGTACAAACACGGCAAGAATTTATGTTCTAGACAAGCCCAAAAGAAAAGTCGTACTGACGCTTTCGTAGTAGAATCTCCAATCTTTAGACCTAGGAGTTCAGAAGTAAAGTCTGCAGTCTAAGCTCCCGGATGGACTATTCCCAAATATTCTTTGTCCGGCACTAATCGTTTTCTGGGACCCAAAGATTGGACATTGGGGCTGTTATCAGGCAAGTCTGGCCGAGAGCAATCGCCCAAAGTCGTGGTAAAGCTCTGTATTACACATATTCTTTCTTTCTTTTATTTTGTGCTTGAAGAAATCTCACTGGATTTCACACCAGAAGTTGAAAGGATAAAAAAAAATAAAAACAACTTCGTGTAGTCGAAATAAGGACGCCATAAAAATGAAATATGTGGTTTTATATTTTTATTCTGCCACGCTGTATTCGATTTTGCAGATATCTTTTGAAAAATATTTATGGAACGTTCTTAGAATTTCTAAATGCGTTTTTTGGTAACCTATTTTGTAAGTAAAAATTTAAATAACGAAAAAACATTTTTAGCACCAAAATACTATTGTTTTTATACAAATACAAAATTTAAGGAGCCGAAAATTCTCATTTTTTTTCTTCACACTTTCATCGTGTAAGTTGTGTGAAATACACAAATTAATTTTTTATATGCCGTTTTTCAAGGCTCAATCATCACATAAAAAATCGCTTCTTAGTGCATAATATATTGTTAATTTAACTATTGTGAGTTTGTGACAGGTATTAATGACTGTTAGGCCATAATTTTAATCAGAGTTATACTAATTATATAGAAAAAGGCACAAAAATCAATATAAAGAAAAGTCACAATTTTGTGAAAACTTCGCATTATCTGTGGTAATAATGATTTACGAAGATTTTCATCTATGAGGAAAAATCTCGCTAAATTGGCAATTTTTTTTTAAAAATTTAATTTATTTTTAAATAAAGTTATTGGTTTGTTCTAAAGACCGGATAATTTTTTATGGCAAGAAAGCGTATATAGTTTAAAGTTACTGCATTGCCTCGAGTGTAAGGTATTTAAACTGTTTTTTTTTTTTTTTTTTTTTTTTTTTTTTTTTTTTTTTTTTTTTTTTNTTTTTTTTTTTTTTTTTGCTTTGCGAAAGAGTTTTTGCGAGAGTCTATGCTTTAAATATATAAAAAAAAAAATTTTTTTTTAAATAATAAAATGGCAATATTTTTAACCTACATAAGAATCTCTAAAATCAAAAATTAATCCTTAATTTTTATAAATCTTTATGGGAGTTATGAGCATTAGTTATAACCAGCATTGAATATCCGACCCAATTCGGAGCTTAGGATTACCAATGTTTAACTCTGTAGCCTCGTAATTTTGAACCCAATGTAGAAGACAGGAGAACTTATTGGATCAAGCAGTGGAAGAAATTTGCTTTCGCGGAGGATTTTTAGATGGAATTAACCCACATTTGTGTTATATGAAGAGGAAAACCACGAAAACATCCCACGGTTACCCTGACGGCAAGAGGACTCTAACCCATGATACGTCTACCACTCAGGATATTTTACTGTGTTCGTTACGAGTTTGGAGCGGAATTTGTATCGAACAGCCATCGCTGGGTTCGAACCTGGGTCACCACATTGGGAGGTGAGCGCTCTATCCCTTGAGCTGTAATTTTTCAAATAATAAAATATTAGATCGCGAACGTTTTTAATTTTCACGAAATTGTAGTTTTTCTTCATATTGACATTTCACGCTATTTTCATAGTTAATAATTAGCGTAAAAGGCTAAAGTTAGACCAAACTTGACCTAACAGACCAGAATTATTGCAATAAACTCGCATGTGTTGTCGCAAACTCACGATTAATCTAACAAGTTCACGTGCATTGTTACAAGCTGCTCACAATTATTTTTAGAAACACACGTTTTTTGTTACAAACTCAACAGTTATAAAAATAGCGTATTTGTTAAAAAGCATTATTTCATCTGACAACAGAACTTTCAAAAAGAGCCTTAATAAAAATCTAACAACAATCTTAGCATCTTTCTCTAACGCAAAAATAATAATAAAATAATCAGCTAGTATTCAATTAATGAACAACTATCTTAAATCAGTATCCTTTTAAAACAAATTTTTTTATGATGATTAATTTGTTTAAAACAACGCATCAATCAGTGGCAATTACAGAGAACTCCGATTTAAATAAAAAAGTTTCAAAAATACACAAAATAAGCCAAGCCGAAATAATTATCGCCAAAAGTCAACGATTCGTAAACGAGACTCGTCTAAAACTAAAAACGAAAGTCCAAGCATCATCTAACTTCCAGAAGTAATCAAAGCCAAAACATGTAAAAAAAAAATACTTTAATCATCAGACCTCATCTAAGAAAGACCATATCCTTACTCGAACGCAACAGTACCACTCTAGTACGTACAGCAGTGTCCTAGAGCTCATCACGAAGATCGCATAAAAATCTTGTCCTACAACAACATCATAAAATCCTAGGTTAATAAACAACCTTTCTCTCTTTTACATGTTTACCAAGGGTGAAGATCTCTCATTTTGCATTATATGGTACTTAAAATAAATTTATTATGCTTTCGTTCATTTTCGTTTAATGCACATATTTTTATAACGGGTATAAACCCGGTACTTTATGATCTTTGGTGTCAAGAGGCACTACCAACTTAGTAAAATGATCAGGGCCTAAGGTGCCAAAAGGTATTTTTTTTTTCTTCCCTCTCGCGCATTTTGTCGCCAACTTCAGTTAGTTATGAGTGGTCGTAATTTATTAGATCGTAAAGTGATTTCTAGCCAAACGATTCGATTTACCACAATTTCTTCCTTAATAGCTTTAATTCCTATCACTGATTTATAAATCTGAAGAGAGTTAACAATATATTTGCAAATAAAAACAAATGCCGCCAAACAAGCGCGGTATTTAATTTATGATGAGGTATAAAAGTTTATTTAAGTGTCCTTAAGTTAATGTAATTTCGGGTAAACATTTTCTTAGAAAGGTTGAATAAATCTTAAAGTTATTACTTTATTCATCTTCTCTTTTAAGTAATTATTGAATAGACTTACTAAATGATATAAGTAACATAAAAATACAATAAGAAATTATGGGGAAAAAATTCTAAATTATTTATCAAAAAGAAAGGATATTAGCAATTAACTCATTTAGTGGCAAATTCTAATTTATTGGTAAGAGCTATTTTTAATAGATATTTTAAAAGTAATGAAGAAATAATTATCCAATTAAAAAATTTAAACTATTAAACATTTTTGCAAGCATGAATAAAATAATAATGTAATTTCATGAATTCATATAAACTAAATTGAAAATCATTTTACTGAAGCAATAATAAGTTTATTAATGGCTTTTTTCTATCAAAATTTAAAACGATATCATAAAAAAGTTTTTTTTTAACGAATAGTCCAGGAAAAAAAATTTCGCTATACATAGTCTATTAATAGATCTTTCTTTCACCGTGACAATAAAATGAGGTACAATGAGGAGAAAATAAAGTTTAAATTAACTTATTTCCTAACAGATAATTAATTGATAATTAATAAATAAAGTCTTTTTAAATTAATTTTGTGAATTTTATAAAGTAATTGGTAGATAAATTTGTAAGGAACTTAAGTAAAATATTTTGTTTTAAAATTCAGTCATTAAATGTAATATTAAAACTGGTTTGCAAAGAGTTGGTTTAAAATTCTCATTACTCACCAAGCGACAAAAACTTGTAGACAGTATAAAATAACACAATCTTACCTAAAATGAAAACAAAAATAAATTAGTTGAAAATATTAATAAAAAAGCATAATCAAATTAAAATAGAAAAAATATTAAATGAATTAATCAATAAATTTTTAAAAGAAATATTAAAAATTCGGCATTCAACGAAATGTAAACAGAAAGGAAAAAAAATTATTAGCACCGGATATTTTAAAATTTTTTTTTAAATTACAAAAACATTATAAATAAATAAAATGAGCCTTTGAATTCATTCTTGATCTAGCGCTATTCATTTACAAAATAAAAAAGAGTTTTCATTCATCATAATTTACACAAAAACAAAATTTTGATTAAAAAAAATTCTATCCAAAGAAGGCTTTTTTTAAAGCTTGTAATTTTTCTCTTCTTTCCCTTTTAAATATATTTCCTATCGATTAAATGAAGCTAAACCAAAAATATTTTTACATTTATTTATTTTATTTATTTATTATTATTATTATTTATTTTTTTTTTGTTAATTATGTTAACGTAAATCCAATTTAAACTCACTTTTATTCAATATTAGGGACAAGCAAATATTGTTTAAAACGAAAAGATAATTTATACCTCAATACAAAAGTTATTATACCTTAATAATAAATAATTATGTCTTAATAACTAAAGCAAACAAATATTATTTAATGAAAAAAATTCGTACACATGTAAATTAACAGGCGCGTAAAAATATCATAAACGAATCATTGTTTTATATGAAATTGAAGCATTTCGCAACATTTTAATAAACAAAAAAGCAATTTATTCTATTTTTAAACAAAATAATCCAAACCTGTGGTAATATCACAAGCATTTCGCAACATTTTAATAAATAAAAAAGCAATTTATTCTATTTTTAAACAAAACAATCCAAACCTGCGGTAATATCACAAGCATTTCGCAACATTTTAATAAATAAAAAAGTAATTTATTCTATTTTTAAACAAAATAATCCAAACCTGCGGTAATATCACAAGCATTTCGCCACATTTTAATAAATAAAAAACCAATTTATTCTACTTTTAAACAAAATAATCCAAACCTGCGGTAATATCACGAGCATTTCGCAACATTTTAATAAATAAAAAAGCAATTTATTCTACTTTTGAACAAAATAATCCAAACCTGTGGTAATATCTAGAATCCTCACAATATTGCACAACCGCGCGATCATTATATCCATAGTACACAGGTCCACCAACATGTTTTTAAATATTCCTAACAGAACGCGCACTTGCAAATAAACACTAACTTCAGAACACCAATCCAAGAAACGACATCCATCCACAAACAAAAACAATATTCGAAGGAATAAATCCAAGAATAAAACAGAACTCAGAAGACAGCACCGGCCTGCAGTTCGATTGGTCATCTACTCCACACAAGAAACTTATTCTCAACCCTCTAAATGGTGAATAATAAAATATAACTTTTCCGTGAGAAAGCAGGTAAAGTTTTCGTTCTAGCAATTGACCGTGTATCCTGTCTTCTTGAAGACGTTCTATGGGGGTGGAGAGGAAGGATGGAAAAGAAAGATTGGAATATCCTCTCTTGCGTGTCCACTTGCTCCAGGAGCTAGGGGAACCAACTGTCGAAACCGGAAATTTGTGGGATGAGAACAACCAAATCATCCGGTATTTTTGTTTTCAATACTTCAGAAAAAGAGGAGATAATTTCGATAAAAATAGAAGTGGAATTCGAAATTGTGCACTGATTCTAACCTCTGCAGTAACGGCGGCTATTGTTCTCGTCTGAAAAGTTTATTGGGCCAAATCATTAAGTTGTTACCATTTCTAAATATTCTAGTTTCTAAATGCTATCATCAGCATAAAGAATCTGAAATAGGAAGGTTCAAAATATCAGGGCTAGTAATATCGCTTATCAATGACTGGGTTTTAAACGGTTCCTGCCTACCTACAGGAATGCGTGGGAGTTCTTTCTGACACAGATTCACACTTATCAGTAGTATTCAAAAACGCTTTTATTTTGTCTTACATTTTCGATTTTATACTTCAAAATCCTTGTTTTTAAATGTTATCAATTCCAAAAGGATATATAAGGATATAAATGAGAAAATATTAGGGCTGTTAAGGTTTCTATAGAAATGTGTCAACACGGATTCGCATTTATCTCTCGACATTAATTAATTATCGTTTCTAAGATTCTTGTTTCAATATAATATCATCCCTGAAAAAGGTATTTCGGTATAAAAATAGAATTTAAAGCGTTTTTATTTCGCTTCAGATCTTCCAAACAATCCAATACTCTTAATTTTTAATGTTATCAATTCAATAAGGATCTAAAAAAAATAAGAAAATATCGGGGCTGCTAATGTTCCAATAGAAATGAATAAGAATGTCAACACGGATTCGCACTTATCAGTGGAATTCGCTGGTCATTAAGTACTATCATCCCTGTTATAGGCTTTTTTATATAATAGTAGAATTTTAATCGTTTTTATTTTATCCCACATTTTCCGTGAATTCCAATGTTCTTGTTTCTATATGCTATTAAATCCGGAAGAATATAAATGAGGAAAATTAAAAATATCAAGGTTTTTATTGAAATGCGTAAAAGTGCTGCCAACCCGGATAACTTATCAGTAGATTTCGAAACCTTTTTCTTTTGTCTCATATTTTCTATACTATGTTACAATATATTATTGCTTTTAACGGACATTTTATACAGATCTAAAAGCAGGGGTAACAGGATCAGGGTACTAAAATATCAGGGTATCAGGATTGTAATTGTTCTTATATAGGAGCTCTATAGTCACAAATTGAAACTTATCAGTTGAATTCATAACATTTTCTTTTGGGCGTATGTTTTCTTTCTTATGATTTAAAAGTTTGATATTTCCCACCTTTAGTTTTACAAACTCATAATTTATTTGATTTTATATTACTTTCCAAAAACAGCGCGTTTTAAACAAAACATGAAAACTTTAATTTTATAGTTTCAGAATTTAGAAAATATGTTTAGATTTTCTAATTTTTATGCGTCTTTTTTTTAAATTCTATAAATCATAATCAATATTATTTTCTAAAAAAAAACCTTGAAAGATGTATGTTTAAATAAAATTAAGAAATAAAAAATTCCGTAGAAATATGGTTCTATATAATTTTCTCGAAGATATATTTAATATAAATCCAGGGAAAATTCCTATTTTATAAATAGAATAAAAATGCCCTTAAGAAGTCATTTACTGATTATCCCCTTCCAAAATAATGTTTTTCAGTTTTAAATTGAAATCAAAAATCCGAACTACTTTTATATGTGAAATATAAAAATCTTAGCAAAGAAATCTACCTCCACAAAATACTAAGTAAATAAATTTAGATTTAAATAAGCTGATGATATCACCAGCGGCAACTTCAAATACATCGCTTATGATCAGGACAGATTTTATAGCTGTCATTTTTAAGAACTTTTTTTGCGAACAAAATATTTTAATTTGGTCGACACCTTTTAATGACAAACGAAACACCTACTCACCTAAAATTAGTAAAAAAAAATTAACACACGATACACTATTTTAACAATTTATCTTTAAAATCTTTTAGAAAAACATTAGTAGATTAATGTAGTTACTTTCTTTAAAAAAAAAAGTTAAAATTCATTAACCACAATCTCTTTAAATAAGGCAAGTGAGCCACGGTGAATAAATAAATCAAAAATCTTCGCCAAGCCCCAAAACTTATTAGCAAAACTAACAAAGCTCTTCCTAGGAATGAAATGAAATGGCTTTTAATTTAAACAGGGTAAAATAGTTCAAGCAGAAAATGAAAATCCCGATTAAAAATTTTCAGCCAAGCGGATAGAACTTAAAACAGGAAATTATACGAACAAGCCTAACCTAGACTTGTTATAAATGCGAAAGAATTAAGTCAAGTTGGATTTATAGCCTCGAGCCCAAAAACTTAACTAAGGGATTAAAGAATTAGCCGAACAGAAAATACTGCTTTATTTACTTCAAAAATAAAGAATTTTGTTTAGCCTTCGTTCCCTATAGTTGTTTTGCATTTACTGCTTTTTTCTGTTGGCGCGTCATTTGCAAATTTCTGCAAAAAGACTGGACATTTGAAGCTCCAAGGGGAAAATATCTACGCCAAGACATGGATTTAATTAAATAAGAATTATAATGCATAACTTATTTTTGTTGTTTTTCCGGCAAAAGGAATAAAAATTTGAGAGAACAGAATTAATTTTTAAATAAAATATTAATAAAATTTAGATAGTTACATTTCAATTAGCGACTAGGGTTTAAATTCTTTTAATATAATTCATAAAACAACACAAAATAAAAATAATGGTAAATAAAAATGATAATAAGTTCTTGTCAGGTTTAATTCCGTACAAGCTTTTACTAAAAAGAGTCGGAATATATTAATAAAAAAAATTTTTATTTAAAAAAATGTCACACATTTTATTAAGATTATAAACAGGCTTTTGTAATTTTAAATGAGATGGTATGAAATGACAAATTTGTTTCTAAATCTAACAATTAAAATCTTAATCTCTGAAAACATTTTCAAACTAAGCGTATGACCATCGCCGTCATCATTTACATGCGATAATTCTGCGGTATTCATTTATCTTTAAATGTAGGAAAAATATTATGAAGTGTATAAAAAAGTTTAATAACTACTAAAAATAATAGATGTTAACCAAAAAATAAGTTAATTGTTCTTCCAGAAAAAATATTTAAATTTAAAACACAATTTCATAAAATCAAAAATATATTTAAAAAAAATTATAAATATTATTAACTCATTAATTTTTCTACTCAATTTCAATTGTTTTAATTTATTAATATTTATTTTTTTGTTCATTAATTTTTTGTTAATTTAATTAATCATAATAATTAAAAATTTCAACGCAGCCTGTTGCTCAATGAGGTAAATTTCAGTCTTAAGCCGGCCAGCACTTGTAGCTATATTAATACACTTCTTAAGAGGACAGCATACCAAGAGAAAAATCCTTCATAGCATTATTCTATTTCACCACCATCACTAATTTAAAAAATAAAAAAAGTGAATTCAAGCAACCCTAGAGTAAGCCATAGAGTTCCAAATACTGAAGAAAAAAAATTTTAAAGTATTAAAATGCAAAAAAATTATTTAAAGAGAACTTCCCTATTGAAAAATGATAAGCCATCTTCTCAAAATTTATTTTCATTTTGAAAATTTCATTGAAACTTCATGGCTACAGGGGTTTGTTTAGAAGAAATTTGGGTCCGTTAACGGACCCTTCACAAAATATCTTTTCATAAAAACAGACCGTTCACAAAATATTTTAACTTAAAAACGGACCTTTCACAAATTTGTTTATTTTCATTATTGTTTTATTAATCGAATAAACCCTTCCCAGGAATGGGGTGGGGAGAAAGACAGATGCAAACGAACTAAATTTTGTCTTCCGCAGACGCTTCTTCCTTTATTCGTCTGAAATGAATATTCTACGTTCAGCAGTATAAGGCTAAATACCAAATATTTGTATGTTGCATCGCTAATTTAGTAGCTGCAATTGCCGTTTATTTTTTAAAATTTGATTTTTTTAATTATAACTTTACAATGTTGAGCATAATCTTGTATGTCTTTATAATTTAAAAACTCCTTGAATTTTTTTTTTTTTTTTTTTTTTTTTTTTTTTTTTTTTTTTTTTTTTTTTTTTTTTTTTTTTTTTTTTTTTNCTATTGAAAAATGATAAACTATCTCCTCAGAATTTATTTTCATTTTGATATTTTGAAAATTTCATTTTGAAACTTCATGGCGTACTCTAGGTTTGTCAGAACTCACTCTTTCTATACTACAAATTTTAAACTACTTTTGCGGGTATAATAGAGCCTCCTCTTAAATGCTCAAATTTAACAATAATACTGTTAAATTTGACAGTAATACTGTTCAATTTAGCACGTTATTAAGGTAATAGCAAATCTGCACCGTATTATGGTTTAAGGTACCGATATTATACTTCAAACTACCGATATTATGGTTTAACGTTGAACAAATTTTTCTTAGAATTTGTGTCTTCGTGGAATGGTATCACAATTCAAATAAGAATGTCTGTAATATTTCTCAATAAGTACTAAAATGTAAGTTTTTAATGAGTACTAATATGTTAAATAAGTTCAAAGTATATTCTGTATCAATAATTCAGAGTTATAACTGATAGCTTAATATTAAGCGATATTAATAGGTATTCTTTCATGGCTGAATTCATTAAAACTTTGTAATACGGCAAGATTTTAATAAACGCGTGGAAGTTATCATCGTATATTCTAGTTTCGATAGAAACTTTTTTAAGAGCTAATATAATTTGCCTGTAAATACAGACATCAAAAGCGTAAAACTTTTAAGTTTACAGCTGATTATCCAGGTACAGTATGAACAGTATAAAAATCACCTCTTATCTCATACCATTTCCAGCATTTAAGCTGAGGGTTAAGTTTAATTTTCCCGTAGGTATAAAAATTTACCACGGATTTACGACGTCCTTCCCGAGTAGAATATTCAGTTGCAAAAAAAAAAAGGTCTCAGTTACCTAAAAAAGGCTGGTAGTCAAATATAATTTCATTACCTACCGTCATTATATTCAGGGTGGGATGAAGGAAGAAAAAAAACCCTCCACGAATTGGGAAATTTGCCAAAAGTAATAAAAGAATAAATATATAAAATCGAAACCACCGGGTAGAAGTCATAAAAATTAATACCTCGCGGACGTGACGTCCTTTTGGTCACTAATGTTTGAGTACAAGTCCAGAAAAAAGATGTTGGGTCAGCGCTTTACCACATTTTTGGACCTGCGCGTGACGACGTGGAGGATAGTATTAAAAGAAGAAAGCAAAAACGTGCTTTTTAC